TCCAAAACATACTTTAATGTTGAAATTTAGCATGATAAGTTACTGACTGTATTTCTTGTCAAGTATATTTAAACATTTACTAGTTTACTTTAGACAATTTAGGGGGAAAAAACAAACTGTGGCCAAGAAAATAATAGAAAAGAAATTGCAGAAGATGGTGGGAAACTGGGGTACTACATATTTTTGGAATTAGCAGCGTCTCAAGAGGTTCATCATAAAAAAATAAAAAGTCAGCAGCAAATTCGTTGAAAAGGAAATAAATTACATGTGTATTGAATTAAACTTTTTTTTTACACTACTTGAATGTTTAAGATTAACTGAGGGCTGATAATAGTTGTTCATGATTTTCCTAACTTATAAGCACAAGCAACATGTTTTATTTTTCTGTAAAAGACATTTCCAGGTATTAAATTATTACAGGGGTGACACACAGAATAGTATGTAGAATAATTCTCTGAAACAGCATTTATTGTGGCAAAAAAATAACTAAACCATCTTGTACAACTTTCTGAAAAAATAATCAGCTCTTAGAATCACTTACAATTCCTTTTTCTTAAATCTCTGATGAAGGCCTTTTCTTCTAGATTATTTCTAAAGGAAGCTACGCTAATTGAAAGCTCCAGTCAGACATTCATAGATTTAGGTTACTTATTTCTATTGAAAACATATACACACAACAAATTCTCTGACATTAACTCAAGAAATTTTATGCTTTCTTTTTATTATTTGTAAATTCATTCATAATCAATATAAAAAAGTTAGTATTCACCACCCGTTTTCGTTTGTCTTACTGTGGTGGCTTTTATGTTGCTGTGATGGTGGCAGCTATGCCACTGGTATTTCAAATACCCGCAGGATCACCCATGGGGGGACAGGTTTTAGCTGAGCTTCTAGTCAAGACAGACTTGGACCAAAGGCCTGGTGAGCTACTTCCAAAAGTTCACCAAGGTAACTTTATAGATCGCAACATAATATTGTTCCATCAAGTGCTAAAAGATGAGTGCTAGGTTGGAAGTCACTCAAAATACACACTGGCCACAACAATGGATTTGAACATGCTAATCACGGTGAGGATGGTTCAGGAGTAGGGAGCAGCTCCTGTGGACACGAGGTCATTGTGAGTCATAGCCAACTCAACTACAACTAACAAGAGGAGGCTATTAGGCAATTATTTTCAATCTCTGGTAGAAAAAAAATATTCAAAGAAGTGATCCATTTAAGGTAACATCAAAAAAGCTAGCAGCAAAATTCAAAATCATATCCAGATCTTTCACTGACCAGTATTTCTTGTCTTGACGTCCCTATGCCAAGGAAATTTTTCTCTACATAAGTCAATCTTAAAGAAAAACCACAATTATCCACACCCCCTCCCCACAATCGTGCAGTTTTAAAAACTCTCCAACAACTCAACTCCCTTGAAAGAATGACTTCTATTTACTTTTCCTGTGTGATTATATATTTAGAGGGAATCTGGAAAAGATAGCTATATATCTATAAACAGAAAGTGCTCTGTAGAATTTACTGTTTATAGATTTTTAACTAGAATTTGTCCCTTATACTTAGAGGGTGCCAGAAATGTTTAATATTGTATTCTTTAAAAACATCGTCAGGTTTCTGCCACTCTGTGGGTTTTATTCCTTCTTTACTTGGGCTCTTAAACATGCGTTATTTCTCCTTTACAGGACTTACTGTTTTTCTATCCTTTTGGAACTTTTGGAATAGCGAAACTTTTCAAAAAGAAAAAAACTCCTACAGCCACCTTAGTGCCATCATAGATTTGTCATTTAAAATTTTTGTGGTTACGAATCGGGCTGCGAACTGCAAGGTCAGCAGTTTGAAACCACCAGCTGCTCCGCGGGAGAAAGATGAGGCTTTCTGCTCCTGTAAAGATTTACAGCCTCAGAAACCCTGATCAGGGTCGCTATGGGTCGGAACTGACTCGACGGCACTTAACAACAACAACAACAACAACATATAAAACTAAAACATATGTAGTAAAGTACTCCATGTAAGCTTTTCTGACTCAACTAAAACAAGGTCTATATTGAGAAGTACTTATGAAAGTATGTTAGACTGTTTTCAATCTTAATCTTCTGGCTTAAAGTATCAACTATAGACACTTCTTTCTAAAAACAACAGTTGTTCACAAAACAGAATTACATAGCTCTTTTCACTTGACCTTCTGACAACCACAATAAAGCATTTTCTGAAATGACAGAACTCTTAATATGGAAATGACATTTAATGACAACTTGAAAGGAAGATGAACAAAGTCAAGTGGAAACACACTCACGCTTTCCCCTGAAATTTACCTCAGCAGCACTCAGGAGTGCTAGACCTAGTCCTCCACCCTGTACTTTTCAGTCATTTCCTTTGAGGGGTCCAAAAGAAATAATGAGTGGAACCTACTCAACAGAAACTAACAAAGAAATAAGGAAACGAACAATGCCAAACTTCACCAGTCAACACTATATCCAGCGGCCTCTGGACTTGTGACTGAGCAAAGACACTGTATACTAGCTTCCCTAAAGTACAAGTTATTGTTGTTAAGTGGCATCAAGTCAGTTTTGACTCACAGCGACCCTGTATAGAATTTCTAAGGAGTGGCTGGTGGGTTTGAACCACCAACCTTGTGGTTAGCAGTCCAGCGTTCATCCTACAGCAACACACCAGGACTCCAAAGTACAAGTATCCCTGGTAAATCTGGTTTGTAAGTGCTAAAATAAAAGTTTAACATAAGATCACTTAACTGCTAATCTTAATGAGATCATACATCATCCTCACCCCCCCACCATCTGCCACTAAGGCACAACTGACAGCTTACTAACTAAATATTACTATTACATTACAGCACTTCTACCTTGCTAGTAAAAAGCTACGTGACAGCAGCTTTTTGAAACTGTAAATTTATTAGATGAGATATTATAATCACTTTAGTACATGCAACTTTCCACACACATTTAACTGTCCTATTTTCCAATTGTTTGCTTTAAACTCAAGATCTTTTACCATACTAGAGAAAGAGAAAAGGTTTGGGGTGTAGGGAAACTAATAAAATAAACGTTTTATTTTCTGATGCCACCACAAGAATCTAAAAACTCAACATTAAATTCAAGAGGAATTTAGGATAAATGAGACTACTCCCTGTTACTACCATTTTGATCATTATTCACATCAGAAATAACTAGTAGAAATGATGTTAGATATTAAACTTTGGTGCTTTCCAGTTCTGTTCAACTATTAAAACTTGTCCTCAGAATTAAGTCCTTTACTCCAGAGAGGTTGTTGGTGTGAATAAAAAGCATGGGGAATTCAGAGGTTGTATTTGGCACAGTGGTTAAACACTGGGCTGTTAACTGAAAGTTGATGGTTCTAACCTACCACTCTCAGTCTGCTTCCATAAAGACTGGAAACTTTAAGGGACCATCTTGTCCTATGGGGTTGCTATGAGTTGCAATCAACTTGATGGCAGTGGGTTCATTTTTTTTGGTTTATGTGCACAAAAAAGAACAATTATTTTGAGAGATGCAAACTTGATCACATTTTCTCAGCAAGGTATAAATAACATATAGCGTCAAAAGAAACAGAAGAATTAAAGAAATTGAATCTTCTTCACAATTCAAAATTTTATGCTCACATTATTAAGCAAATGAAAATTTTTTAAATCTAGTATTTCTCCTTAATTATAAAAGCAATATATATATATATAAATGTCTACATATTCAATGTAGAAAAAGGACAATACCAGTTGGGAAACAAAAGAACTGCTGCTATAAAAACAACTAACATTTTGCAGAACAAAAAGTAAACAGCCTTTGAACCAAAGCAAAACAGAAAACCTTTTCTTACACTTAAAGCTTCAGTCTTTGGCAAAATTAGCACCTATCACAAGGCGTCCAATAATATTTACTGATATCCAATTTGATGACCAAACTAGGGGATGGTTCGTGGTGCTGTTAAAACCTAGAAACACTCCTTGTGTGTAGTGATTTAAATCTGTTAACAATGTACACTTAGAAATACACATCTCTCTTTCCTCATCGCTGCTCCTTTGCCTCATAAAAACTTGCACATATAAAAATCTAAGCAGATGGGGAGTTTATGATTTTCACAGTATTTTTCCAACTTGGAACATTTTTCAGTAAGTCTTTGAGGTTTTAAGATTGAAAACACTATGTAAGAAAAATTATTGCTTGAGCTACCTAACAATTACCCAGACTTCTTTCAGACTTCAGTTAACGTGTAAGTAAAATGAGCATCTTTAACTTCTCCACAGGGTATTGGAGAACGAGTTATTATTACTCATAAATGCTTTCAGGTCCTCAGACACCAGGCGCGGAAGAAGATCAAGGGTATCCATCAATTAAAGAGCTATCCCGGGCCTCAGTTTACCCACTTACGGAAACGGGCTTATTAACTTGCTTCGCAGGGCCCTCGGAGGTGTAATTAATTAGTGTTTTTAAAATGCTCAGCGATCCCAAGATGAAAGGAGATGCGAGAGACACGCAGAGATGATGACAATAATCATAACAATAAAAAGAATGACTAACTTGGAAGTCGACGTTATGTAAGGAGGGAGAAAGAAGTTATCAGATTCGCACAAACAAAAGAAAAACACACTACCCTTTGTTTCTTTCATTTCTCTTTTCCTCCACGCCGCGGGCACTAGAGCCGTGGTCTGGGGGCCCGAGAGCGCGAAGGGCGAGGGGACTCGGAGTTGGTAGCAGAGCGCCCCGCTCCAGCCGGTGGGGGAGGGTGCGCGGGGCCAGCTCATGACAAAGGCGCTTCCTTCAGCGAGGGCGCGGGATGGAGGCGCCGCAAACTCCGCTCCCGGCTGTCTCCAGGCGCGGGGGCGCGCGGACGAAAGCGAGAGTGGGCCGCCAGCCCCGGGAAGCCGCCGAGGAAGTTGCGCGCCCACCTTCTCCGTACCCCTCGCCCACCCTACCGAGATCCCTCCCGCGGCGCACGGCGGCGGCCATCGCCGCCACCACCACACTCACCGGACAATTGTTGGTGGCCGGTATCCCAGCACTGCCCCGAGATCCGGAGTAAGCGGGTGAAGTGTGTGCGCCGTGAGCGCAAAGAGACAGACCGGCGTTTCGCCGCCGCCTTCCCCGCCAGCCGGCCAAGCCCGGCGAGGAGGAAGTTGACCGAGGAGCTGAGAGCTAAGAAGCTGCTGGCGGAGGGAGAGCCGCGGGGCCCTCTTTGTGGCGCGCTCCCAGAGGGCCTGAGACAAATCCAATCGTGAGGCAGGGCTGGTGTTGCTGTTGGAGGCGGCGGCGGCGGCGCCCCCCGACGGTCCCCTCCGCCTCACACCGCCTCTGGGTCACTGACACACACTCGGAGGGAGGGGAGGGGACAACTGGGAGGCGGGGCCAGAGGGAAGGAGCAGGGCAGGGCCACATCGGTAGGCGGTGCTGCAGTCCGAGAGGGCTCTTGGGAATTGTAGTTCTACGACTGATGGAAAAAGGATACATTGTTGCAGACCCTTCCAGCTCTTACTTTGCACTGCGCATGCTAGGGAGAAGAGGCTTGGCCCCCACCGTTACCACGGTGACTAGGACACTAATCAAAGGGAGCATGTTAAGAGAAAAGCGACTGTTGATTGAACAAAGCCCCAGTTTTGTATTAAAGGCAGTTTCCAGGTTACAAACTTCCGAATTACAAACAATTTAGTTATGAACCAACCCTATAAGTCCATTATATTAAAAATATTAGTGGTTTGGAAAAAAAAAATTGTGGTTTGTAACAACAAATGGGCAGTACTTTGTAATGGACATCAAACCATTATTGTTACCATTATTTCTGTCTTATGTTATATTATGGAGCCCTGGTGTGGTGCGTAGGGTACGTACTCGACTTCAAGGCTGTTTTGAACCTCAAGGTCGGGGGTTCAAACTCATCAGCCGCTCCTTGGAAACCCTATACAAGTTCACTATGAGTCAAGCCGACTTGGCAGCACTTAACAACACCAACACATTATATTATGCATAGACAGGAACACCATATACTAATACAGACATTTGACTGTTGTACCTACCTGTTCTGATTTACATACAAATTAGACTTAAATACAGATTTAGGAATAGAACTCATTACTAATTCGTTGACTGCCGGTCTGGTGTTACTGGGGATCCTGCAGTTAGCTAGTCCTCCTACTTCCTTCACCCTCAATGCCTATCCTCACCACTCACAAGTGTCCAGTGAAATCTAACTGCCTCCTGGTATTTTGGTCTTCTTCCTTGATGCTTAATTTTGTTCCATAAATCCAGAAGCAAAAATGCCCTTTCCTCTGACTTCCTTCAAACTTCCTCTCTTTTAAATTCAAGTTTCTTTCTTTACCTCAGACTTATAGAAATGTAGTTGCGTCTAATAACTTAACAATTTGGTTATAAAACTATTATATACAAACCTGCTATCAGAATCCCATATGTCAGTTGTTTCACTCACTTAATCACATTTAACTTTAAGGTCAGCAAAGACAAAATTTAAGCTAAGATCATTATACTTTACTTGATTAATTTAGAATGATCCAGATTTGTTCATATTAAGGTCTATATCTTTAAGAAATACAATTTCATAAAGTAGTTATAAATTCAAAAGATTAATGAAAAGTTGAAAATTGGGTACCACATATATGCACATATGTATATGTTGTTGTTGTTAAGTTCTGTGGAGTCAATT